ATTTGGTTGAGCATGTTTATAGCACTTCTGTGATTAACAGCCCTGCCACAAAAGGGCTTCTGATCATGGAAGAGTGTGTTCAGCACAATGCATTTGCAAATGCCTCTCTGTCCATGAAATGGACAAAGAACTGATTGACACGAAGGTGGAGACGACATTACAGGTGAGACCTGGCATACATCTCTCACCGCAGGAATGAAGTCAGGCAGAAACTAATTAGGATGCAATCAGGAGTACTGAGGACTGCAGATAGTGGTGGCGGGCTCTCTCCTCTGCCATTTAGAACTAAACTGTGGTACTTTGAACCAGTGTCCATCTTGCTCAGATGTCCTACCCATGGTTTGCTCAAGGAGTGTGGTAGCTAAAGGGAAACAAGAATGTCACCAAAAAAATTGCTTTGTCCGCTCTGGCTACTTTCAAACATGGAAGAGGAGGTGTGCCTGTGTTACCTTCCATGAAACAGGCTATCAAAGTCTGAAAAAGAACGAGGCAAATCTAAACACCCTGAACCAGGTGAACCTGTTTGGACCACCATATTCAAAAAGTTTCCCAGTTTCAGAGAATACCCCCCCACACACACACACAAAAAAAACCCCTCCAGCAATCTGTCACTCCTTTCTGAAGAAAGTTCTTTGCTACATTTTTCCTGTCCATTTGCTAGCAGGCACAAACATTTTCATTCAGGCAAGTCTTTAAAATATAAGCTGATCTATTACCAAAGCAGTTTAATGCTAGTTGTTGCTTTTGATCTCTTTCTGTTTCTCCTTTTAAAATTGATTGGATGTTTTTATGATGATTTTAAATTTTTAATCAGAGTTTTACATTGTTCAATCCTCAGCACCTCTGCGTAGGGATAGGGATCACTGTCAGCCGAAGTTGAAAATGTTAGGCTACATGGACCAATGTTCTTCATTTATTCCTATTGTTCTTCTTGCCAGTTGCCATGATCACGGTTTATGGTGGAAAGGCAGGAAGTAAAGAAAGCAAAAGACCCAGGCCTATCCGTATATCCAGTGAGGCATTGTGGATAGATTGATGGACTAGGACTCAAGTGACCTGAGTCCAAATCATTGTTTGACCATGAGAGTGTACTGGCTGTGTGTGAGAGACACCAGTAAAGCCAATCCTTAATTATCTTGCTTGGCCTGAAAACACTATTAGGTTCATAAGAAGTTGGTTCTGACATGATGGGCTATAACTCATGTTATTCCTAAGCACTATTTTCTGAGCACATGTATAAAATTGATCCAGAAATGTTAAATATGCATAGAGGTTGGAACTACCGCAAACAGTACTGATATACATTCATCCAACACAGATACATTGCCTTAATGTGTTGAATAAATGAGTGAGTGCACAAGCCTCTTACATCGTAGCCCTGGTTTATTAAAAAAAACACAAAATAAAAAAACTTGTTTTACTTTGGCCAAAATCATTCCTTACTGGTGTAAATTTTATAGTCAGATTGCCACAAATTAAGAAATTAGAGTAGGTGTTCGTTGTTGTGTGGCATGTTTTCATTGTTCAGGTACAAAAACAAATGCATACATTAACTTCTGAATCATACAACTGCATTTATTATTATCCCCCCCCCTTAGATTATTCATTCAACTGGCCATATTGTCATTTGCTGTTTACATCTGAAAATCTGTAAACACACCAAGGCTGTGGGCAGTATAATCCCAAAGCTGAGAAGAATATACATTTTGCATGCTTTAAAAGATCAAGCTTTTGGTACTTATTAATGTAGACACAGGGGTACATAATCATCAAACAGATTGGATACCAGTTCAGATGAATTAAATGTGCTTTGATCAACAGGTTAACATAATTGATATCTTGCTGTGGCTACCAGTTTCCTGATGATTTTTTAAAAAAATACTCAGACAAATCCAGATTAAAAAAGAGCAAGATTTTTTTTTGTAATCCTCTAAAATGACAGGGAGCATGAAATGGTGTTCACATTGCTACATTTATTGAGTATATCACTAAAACTGGGGAATTAAAGCATGGAGTGCTCCCTAGATACCCATACATTTCATTCCCTCTCCACTCCTTGGTGCATAATGATGTCTTGATAAGCCTCCTATTATTTATGCATCTGCAACATATATCCTCTTTTCAGAGCTGAAACTGCACTTGGTAGCAGATGGTGTCTATTGTGTTTACACATCAGCACTTTATGATTGCATTTTCTCACGTCTACAGTAAAAAAGAAAGCCATAATTGAGTTTTTAATGGCTTTGCACATTGTTCATTAAGATTACATGACAGTGTTCCTACAGATGACAGCTGAAGAAATGAGCCACCAAGAAGAACTTCTTGCAAACAGCTCAGACTGATTGCAGTTGACACAGCTTCAGCATCACCTTTCAGCTGCCGTACTACCTTGAAGTTAAATTATGGAAGACTCCATAAAAGCAAATACACACTTTAAAGTACAGACGCTAAATCAGGGCACCAAAAATATTTTAGCTACTTAAAAGTGATTATGACCAAACAGGAGAAACTATAAGAGGGACAAGAGGTCTGAAGATAGGGATAGGATTTTCAAAATTAAAGGATTTCCGGCAATGAATTTATTATGGCAATGAAAGGTCTCAAGCCAGCAGGAAGTAGAACTGCCCCCCTCAACTCCATGCCTTTGTCATATTCCATTGATAAGAAAAGTGTCTCACTAGCTTGATGCACTGTGGAATATTCCGTAAGACCCACAACGGTGAACAGAAGAACAAGTCCCAATAGAGGCTACCTCCTTACAGGGTAGAAGATGAGGGAGGGCAAAGAAGGCAGTGGAACAGCATGGAGGTCTGGAGCTCCTCTACCTCCTGCTGGTTCAAGGGCTTTGGCCTACATAATTTGATATGTGGGGTTATCACCAGATAGGATCCTTCCCCACCCTCTCACATTTTGCAAGTATCTCAGCACTGCAGT